GGCTGACCTGCTGGGGGACCGCGTGGCCATCATGGCCAAGGGGGAGCTTCAGTGCTGCGGGTCCTCGCTGTTCCTCAAGCAGAAGTACGGTGAGCGGGGCGGGCAGGGCCCTGCGGCCGGGACAGGGGCCGGGACGGGAGGAGGAAGCGCGGGAGCAGTCTTGATTGGGTTAGGACGACGTCCCGCCGTGACCGGGAAGGGGCAGCGAAGCGTCAGCCAAGGCCGCCGAGACCAGCGGTGCCCTTGCAGAGGCCACACTGGCTACCGTGGAGGTGCGCGGCCTGTGGCACATTCCAGGGCTGGGTTTGCCATGTGAGTGTGGCTTCCTCGAAGGCAGCTCATGGTCCGATGCCCCAGGCCCACCCACATCCCACCAGCAGACGAGCTCCCCTCCTCAGACACCCCGGGACTTGTGCACCTCCCTTCCCCAGTCCCTCGGCCGGCACACAGCCCTGCCCGGCGGATGGCGACCAGACGTGGTCACCCTCGGGGCCGCCGTTGTCTGGGGCTCCCTTGTGGAGAAAGCAGAGAGGGCAGGTCTTGGGGACGGTTCCTGCCGCAGCCTGAGAGTGGACTGCAGAGCCCATCTTGGGCCTCACGTCCGTACCGGCAGCACTCCCAGGTCCCCCAGCGTCTCCACCCAGCAAGGGCCTGGGAGAAAAGCCCCGAGGATGGCACCGAGGAGTCCAGGTGCATCCGCTCCAGTGCCGCCGTCCCTGCTTTCCGGCCTCTTTCCCACGACCTGTCCTGGTCACGAGCCGAGGGCCCGGAGGGACGGCAGAAGTAGGACACGGCGTCCCGGGGGGGCTCCTCGGTGTTGCAGGTGCGGGCTACCACATGACACTGGTGAAGGAGCCCCACTGTGACCCCGAGGCCATCTCCCGGCTGGTGCGCCACCACGTCCCCAGCGCCACGCTGGAGAGCAGAGCCGGTGCAGAGCTGTCCTTCATCCTGCCCAAGGAGAGCACCCACAGGTACGCGTCCCCAGGGGCGCAGGCACGGCCCTGAGAAGGGGGCTCAGTGGGCCTCGGAGGCTCCGTGCGTAGGGTCCCCCGCTCCTGCCTGTCAGGCTCAGCCAGCAGGGCTCCCAAGCCCACAGCTGTGACAGTAGGTGGAGAACCAGTGCAGTGGAACTGGGAACCCTCCCTGGGTGGAGAGTGTCTGCCGTCCCTCTCGGCACACGGCCAGGCCCTCCTCCCAGGTTCGCCCGCGCACAGCGCCCATGAGCTCCTCGTGGAATCGTGAATGTGTGTGTCTTCTTTGTCTCACGCTATGAGTCACGCGCCGAAGCCTTGTGAACAGAGCAGGTTCTGGTGTGGGGGGTAAGAACCCAACCCTCGATTCACGTTCAGAAACTTTGGGGTATAAATCTTTAAAGTCTGTTTAGTGTTGCTACGAGCCCGATCGATGGTGTGGTTTTGGGTTGCCCCACTCCGTCACACCGTGACTTCGTCAACATCTGTTCCAGCACCACGCACTCCTGGTTTCCCCCCAAGAATACGCCAGGAGACATCCTTCTAGAAAACTCTTGGTCTAAATCTCCAGTGACCCCCTCAGGAGGGGCAAAGGGGACCAAGTTCCTCCCGCAGAGGTGATGTACGTGACTTCCCCGTCAGCAGGACGGGACAGTGTCCATTTTACACCATGCTTGCCAGCTTTGATGAAGTTCTTTTTTAAATATTTGCATATCCAGTGGCTGAAATGGCATTTTGTTTTCCTTCCACTCCTGCTAACAGGAGGTCAGTCTTGCCGCCGCTCACACGGCTTTCTCTGGATATCGTGTGTTCCTGTCTCTCGCTCGTGTATCAGTCAGAGCATTTTATGGAGCGATATCAACCATTTTTGCTGCAATTTTTTCCATTTGGTCATTGATTTTGTGGGACTTTTTTCCCCATGCAGATACTTTACATTTAACGGGTCCTATCTTTTCCTCTGTGATTTTTTTCCTTAGAAACCCTGCAACCGAATGAATATCCTCCAGGTTTTTTGGTTTTTTGGTTTTGTGATTTCACGTGGATATTTTCTAGCAAACAGTATCTCAGGCCTAAGTCCTCACGGCAGAAGGTCATGTGGCCGGGGCGCCTGGGTGTCTCAGTCAGTTGAGCATCTGACTCCTGATTTCCGCTCAGTTCACGGGCTTGTGGGATCCACTGAGTGTGGAGCCCGCTTAAGATTCTGTCTCTCTCTTTCTCTCTGCCCCCGTCCCCAGCTTGCACATGTATGCTCTCTCTCTTAAAATGTCACGTAGGGAAAAAGAGGGGGAAACAAACCCAACTCCCGGTTTTCCAGGCAGCTTTTCCAGGCGCCAAGGCCGCTCTGCCCTGCCCCGGGCCACGTGGAGGAATAAGTTGCCTCCAAAGTCACTGAGAGGCAGCTCTTCACTCGAGGTCTTGCTTCCAGGTTCGAAAGTCTGTTTGCCAAACTGGAGAAGCAGCAGAAGGAGCTGGGGATCGCCAGCTTCGGGGCCTCGGTCACCACCATGGAGGAGGTCTTCCTCCGGTCAGTAAACGCGGGCGTCCATCAGTCTAGGCGCCGATGCTTGCCGACAGCGTGCCGGTGAAGCAGCCCCCTGACTGTCAGATCCAACCCCGACCTGAGGGGGGGCACGCCGGCGTGGGCGGGGCCCCAACTCCCCAGGGCACTCGGAAGGCCGAGGGCGGCTGAACTCCGATCTCCTCTCCGGAAACTTCCGCCCCACCCCCCTTCATGGGGAGGGTGCAGGCGGCCTCTGTTCACCATGCGGGCCCGACAGGCAGGCCCCCAGAACTGCGGGCGGCAGGGGCTGCCCGGGGCGGCGAAGATGTTCACCAGATTTTCCTCCAGCGCCTATTTGGCAGATGGAGTGCTAGGCACTGGAAGGAACAAAAGTACGTGTGAGGTACATGTTTTTCTCTGAGGATCCCGGGACCTAGCGAGGAGGCAGAACAGTGAGTGTGTGCGCGGTGTGCACATATCAGGTGGTTCACGGGTGTCCACGCGGCCCCACCACCCACCCACCCGGCCGCTGCCTGCACTCCCCCCACGCACACCCGTCCCCACTGAGCCATTCCTGGGCGGCTCCTCCCGGAGCACACGCACCTGCCCGTCGGTCCCAGCTCGGCCCCGGGCGCCCGGACCCATGGCGCCCAGTGCTGGCACAACTACACTCCCGGGGCCTCCATCATGCCCCCAGTACCCCCCTTCCCGTCCCTGTGGCTTTGGCCCATCTCGCAGGGAGACCGCGGTCCTTGTGGGCAGGGGCCTTGTCCGGTTATCTGTCCCTCGTGGACTCCACGTCTGGTGTTCTGATGGCATCTGGTGATGGGCACGTGAGGAGACAAACCACAGCCAGCAGAGCTAACAGCGTGCCCCTCCTCCTCCCTCCCTGACGGCCCCCGCGGGGAGCTGAGCGGTGACCGGGCCTCCTGTGTCTTGGCACAGTGTGGGCAAACTGGTGGACACCAGCATGGACATCCAGGCCATCCAGCTCCCTGCCCTGCAATACCAGCACGAGAGGCGGGCGAGCGACTGGGCAGTGGACAGCCACCTGTGCGGGGCCATGGACCCGACCGACGGCATTGGCTCCCTGATCGAGGACGAGTGCACCACCGCCAAGCTCAACACTGGGGTGAGTGCCGAGGGCTGGGCCGGCCGGTGCGGGAAGGCTGGGAGACCCCTGAGCCCCACGTGTTAGCATCCAGGGGGACAGATAAGGGCTCCTGGAGGGTCAGTTCACTGGGAAGAGGGCAGATTACAGCTCACGCGGTCACAGCAGGGAGAAGGAAAACCCAGCACATTTTAATTCAGCGACTGTAATATCGTTTTGTTCTAAGTGGGCCGCGTTGCATATGCTGCTGACTCTGCTCTGTTTACCGAGGGCTTTGCCGTAAGCCTGGTGTTCGCTCAGTAAAGGGCAGCGCTGCTCTGTCTTACAGACGGAAAAGCAGAGTCTGGGTCACGGTGGCCTGGCCAGCACGTGGCAGAGCAGGAGTCTGACCCTGGAGGGGTCCCCACGCTTGGAGGGCTCCCGTATGAGCGCAGACGGGGTCCCCTGCCAAGATCGGGGGAAAGGCAGCGGCCTTGGCTCCCCCAGTGTGGTGGGACCCCCCAAGGCCCTTGTGGGGACCCGCAGGGACACGGATGTGCACATCTCCCGTGTTACTGAAGGAGGAGCTTTGCAAGAAGCCCTGGGGCCTCGGGGCGCACGCATCGGTTGGAGGCCACCAGGCGTGTGCTGGGACCGTGCCTGCGGCTGAGGGTGGGGGGCAGGGGTGTGCTGCTGGCCCCGCGGGGCACCGTGACAGCCCGTCCCCTCTGCCACAGCTCGCCCTCCACTGCCAGCAGTTCTGGGCCATGTTCCTGAAGAAGGCCGTGTACAGCTTGCGCGAGTGGAAGATGGTGGTGGCCCAGGTCCTGGTCCCTCTGACGTGCGTCACCCTGGCCCTCCTGGCCGTCAACTACTCCTCGGAGACCTTTGATGACCCCATGCTGGAGCTGACCCTGGGCGCGTACGGCAGAACTGTCGTGCCCTTTGCTGTCCCCGGGGCCTCCCGGCTGGACCAGCAGCTGTCGGAGCAGCTGAAGGCCATGCTGCAGGCCGAGGGCCAGGAGCCGCGGGAGGTGCTGGGTAAGGGCCGGGCCCGGAGCCCAGCTTCTCAGCGCAGGCACCGTGGGCATTTGGGGCGTTGGCTCCTCCCTGTCTGCGCACCCTGGGATGTTGAGAAGTATCCCTGGCATTGCGTCCCCCTCTCCCCACCGCGTCGTGACAACCACAACTGCCTCCGGACATCACCACTAGGGGGAAGGCCGTTGCCTGAGTCAGGAAGGCACAGGCAGCATCTGGGACTAAGGTTTGCCCAGGACGGGCGGCCACTTAGGTCTGTGTCGGGGTCAGAGGTGAAACATGAAACCTCCGTGGTGTCACCATTGCCCTTCGTTTGCCGGGCAGGTCACAGCACACACTGAGGTAACATGGTGCTCTCTTCTAGCATCTCAGACCGAAGCACCTGCGTCCCTGGCCCTGGCAGTCAGACGCGGCCCTGGGTTCAGAGCAGGCCTCGAGCTCGGGTCGGATGGGCCAGACGTGGGGGAAGGTGGCCTTGGCTTGCTGCTCCCTCCCCCTGCTGGACCGCAGCCCAGAGACTCAGGAAGCAGGCTCTGGTTTAGGGGAAGGCTGGATGCCTCTGCGTCCCGGAACTGGAACCAGCCTGCCTTCCAGTGCCCGCTTCTGCCCCGAGTCCCAGTGTGGCCCTGACCACCCCTGCGACCCTGGTTAGGCCTCAGGAGACATCCTGTCACCTCCGTGTGCCCTCTGCCACGTTTGCCGGCTGTCCCCCAGCCTGGCCCAAAGATTCTGGGCATCTCGTGGCACATGGTGGCTCTGGGGGGTTCGGGACATGGCCTCAGATGCCCCTGGCCTGAGTCCTTCTGGAAGACCAAAGTGTCCATTCCCTTGTCGAGCGTGCAACCTTCCGGCTTTGTTCGCCTCGCCGTGCGGTCTTGTTTCACTGCTTTTAAGGCCATCGGATGCTTTTTCTTCTGTGATGGCGGCTGCGGCCCCATTGGCAGAGCCTCTGTCACTCTTAACATCAGGGCTCCCGGACGCGTCCCTGCCCCTTGCTGACCCTAGGGCCTGCAAGGCAGACGTCCTCTCTCTCGACCCCGTTTACAGGCCAGGGCAGTGAGGGCGTGTGTAGGTGCACGTGATGCTGGGCCGGGCAGCCGCCAGCGACCATAGGGTGGACCCCAGCACCCCTGTCTGAACCCCTGTCCCCACATCTCCACCACGGAGCGAAGCAGGGCTGGGGCGGGTCCTGGCTCCTCGAATGCCCAGAGGGTCCGGCACCTGCAGTGGGGTTTGCCAGGGTTCTTGCTGGTGAGGAGGGAATCCTCCTCCTCCCTGGGCCCCACTCCCTCAGGCCACTCTTTTTTTTTTTTTTTTTTTT